CCCCCGCCAGGTCTCTCTCTATCCTATTATGCAAGACACATCAGTATCTGAAAGGATACATTCTCTTTCTCCTTTGGAATGTAAACTCCATGAGGGAAAGAAGTTCCTATTGTGTTAATGTTGTTCTGTCACTCAAGATCTCCAGTGTTTACATTACTAGTTGGTTCAGTGAATGAATAAGATGGATTTTGTGAATCTCACAAAGAATTCATCTACATGTTGTCTCTCTCTCTACTGGGCATTTACATCCAGAGGTTTTGTCTACGTAATTTTGACAGCGTTCTTTTCTCTTTGCTCTACGGAGAATAGGGGCCCTTGATACACAATATGGAATGCCACCAGAAGTATAGGGAAGCATCTGCTTGATCTGTATTGTCCGGGGCACAGAGCAGTCTTTAAATGTTCAAGGGGGATTGTTGTTAATGTTTTCATAGGTTACTGTGCAAACAAATGCATTAGTCATAAGGATTTTTACTAGTCTACCAAATTCTCAGAGAAGAAATGCACAAAGGCCATTGGGAAAATGTGCAAATTTTGGCCTGTGAAAACGGTGCCGGATGGAGATAATGGCCACAAATAAAACTCACATTGGCCAAAGCAATAATTGGTAAAATGTGTTACAGATAAAAACCAAATGATGATTCAATTTTTACTGTAAAACTAAGGGAAAACACTAATTTTAACTAACATAATTTGAGTTAACATAAAAGTGATAATTTGATGGGTTTGAGTGTCGTTGTACATTAAACAGATCAAGAAATTAGATGCAATCAATAGGCATGCACTTCGGGGAATTTTTTAGAAAGAGAAATCATAAGCAATTGAATTTTTATCAGTTTTTAGATTAATCTACAAAGTCCTAAAAAGTTTTGTGGGTTAAAGGTAAAGTATCAAAGCGTCCCCCAGGCCTCGCCTGTATATATGGGAGTCTTCTAAGATACTTGGATGGATGGAGACCTAGACTCTCAGACTTCGTAGCATATCATCAGCATGTGGATTTGCTCTTTCCTCTTCCTGCTTTTCTCAGCTCCAAAGTAAATGTCATTTGCTGGGGACCAATCATCTTCCATCAGCTCTATCTGTACACATGGTTTATCGACTATGGCAACGACCTTTTGTCACTTGGAATATCATCACAGGTGTGGCACTGGGCTAGCTCATGGGGAAGAGCCTCACGCCATCCCCGTTACAAAAGAAGCCCCCCAAATCCTGTTGGACATGTGAGTGCTCTGTTTTTCAGTGACAGAAGACTCTCACTGAGTTGTAGAGCTCAGTAGCCACTCCATTTTAGAGACCAGAAAACTGAGGATGGGGAGTAAGGGAGTGAGGTTTCATAATTACTTAGGGACACAGTTTATTACTAGCAGATCGGGGACTACGATCCAAATCTCCCATCTTGCTGAACTACAATACTAGCAGCCCTGGGCTGGTTCATCGCAGAAATCCGCCCCAGACTGTGGGTTCTACCATACCCAATATTAGAGCTGAAAATACCTAGTTCCTCATATGGAAAAACCTGGTGACATTTGCCTAATGTTTTTAAGGGCATTACAAACCACCTACTCTTAAAAATAAGGAAATCACACACCCAGTTCTTTCCTCTCTGTACAAATGTCAACTTGTCAATCAGCATTTCCAGTGACGTAGGGATTTTCTGCGGATTTAGCCTAGCACACCAGAAATACAGATACTTGAGTAAATGGCCTAAGAGACTACCAAAAGGCAAATACTAAAGAAAACAGCAAAAATAAAAGACTACTAATTAGGCCAGGCCTGGGGCAGATGTAACGGTTGAAAGGGAGAATGCTGGGTGCAGGAAAGGAAAGGATTTATTGTGGGAGGGGCGTGGGTTTCAGTCCTCACTCTGCTACGTTCAGCTGTACGTCTACACCCAAACCCTCTCAGTTCCTCTAGCTGTAGAGCGGGGCAAGAATGCTAGGTCCTAACGGAACTTGAGTGCTACTGGAGCAAATTTCAGTTGTTAGATGCTTCCTTCCACATTCTGATTGGGCCCAAACCAGGGGGATTTCAGTTAGTTAGGGTGGATGCTGGCCGGCTGGGTCTCCCCTTTCCCTGGCATACACGTACAGTTTGCTTTTTGCTTCAAGTCTGAAGCCACTTCCAACATGTCCTCTAAAACAAACAAACAACCCAGCGATCGTAGCCACTTGACAGGGTTGCAATACCGAAATAAGATAAACTTTGCAAACCGCTTAGGACCACAGGTGTTTGGTAAGTGGCGAGTAACAAGAATGACGATGACGAATGGTCCCCCTTAGGGGGGCAACAAGGAAACCTTCGTAAAATCAGCCTGTCCAGGGACTCCAGATGAAACCTAGATTTGGAGGTGCCCGGGGCAAAAGTCAAATTCCGTGACTTACTGAAAGACTGTGCCTTTCCAACTCCGCGACAGCCACCTCCGGTTTTCGTTAGTTGGAGGCGGCGAAGGCACGGATGGGGGTGGGGAGGGGAGCAGCGGCCCTTAAGCAAGGCAGGGGACAGGTCAGGGCACCAGGCTGAAGGCAGGCAGGCGGCTGATGACCCGGGAGGGGGGCGGGGGCCCGCTACTCACCGCGGCCCACCACCAGGCGTGCGGGATGCTGGTGAAGTTGGTGTTGGGCACATCGTGCTCCACGGAGTAGACGGCCGCCGAGAAGGTGAAGATGCCCATGGTGATGAAAAGCATGAGGCAGCCCACCTGCTGGTAGCACTGGCGCAGCGTGAAGCCGAAGGCGCGCAGGCCCGTGGAGTGGCGGGCCAGCTTGAGGATGCGCAGGACGCGCATCAGGCGCATGACGCGCAGCACCTGGCCCACCTTGCCCACGCGGCCCACCGTCTCCAGCTCGTGCTCCCGCGGCGCGCCCTTGCTGCGCGCCTGGTCCTCGCCCGTGAGGCACTCGAGCAGCAGCTGCAGGTAGAGCGGCAGGATGGCCACCAGGTCCACCAGGTTGAGGGCGCTGCGCGCGAAGCGCCGCAGGTCGGGCGTGGAGGCGAGGCGCAGCAGGAACTCGAGCGTGAAGAAGGCGATGCACAGCATCTCCACGTGCTCCAGGATGGGCCGCGGGTCGCCGCCGCCCGCGCCCTGCGCCGCCCGGTGCTGCATCTCCTCCACCGTGTTGAGCGCCAGCGCCACGACGGACACGAGCACGAAGAGGCTGGAGGCCACCCCGATGGCCTTGGCGGCCACGGACGAGAAGGGCTTCTCCAGGAGGTTCCAGAGGCGGCGGCGCTGCGGCCCGTAGAAGCGCATGTCGCGGAAGAGCTCCTCGGCCTCCTCGGCCTGCGCCTGCGCGCGCAGCTCGCGCTGGATCTTGAGCTGGTCGCTGAGCTCGTCGCGCCGCTCCTCGAAGCAGATGCGGCAGCAGCGCGGCGTGTACTTGAGCCGCACGCCCCAGTAGCCCAGCTCCTCCAGGAAGCAGCGCGGGCACAGCTCGTCGCGCACCAGCAGCACGCCCGACGCGTAGAAGTTGTAGACGAGCTGGAAGACGGCCGGGTCGCGGTCGAAGAAGTACTCGTCCGTCTGCTCCTCGTAGTCGTCGCACAGGCCCAGCTGGCGGCTGCGGCTGGTGGACGTGGCCAGGCGGCCCAGGCGCGTCTTGGGGTAGCAGGCCAGCTCGCAGCAGTCCAGCCGGTAGCTCTGGCCGCCCACGTTCACGTTCAGGGTGGACGACGCGGCGGCAGGGGCGGCGCGGCTGTCGGGCTGCGCGCCGGGGGCGGCCTCTGGCCGCCCGTCCTCCTCGCCTGGGTCGTCCTTCAGCTCGTCCTCCTCCCCCCCATCGTCGTCCTCCTCGATGTAGTAGTTATAGTTGCCCTCGGTCCACGGCGGGATGCTGGCCAGGGAGCCGGAGCGGGCCCCCACCGAGCAGACGCTCCTGCGGTGCTGGCTGCTCCCGGCCTGGGGCGCGTCCCCGCTCTCTGTAGTATTCCAGGGCCTGTAGCCCCACGACCGCCGCCTCTCGCTCTGCTTCAGCATGGCTGTGGCAGGTGCACCCGCTGCTCTGGCTGGGGACTGCCACCCGGAGGACGGATCCTAACCCCTGCTCTGTCTGAGAGGGGCCTGCACCAGACGACCGAGGTGCCCAGCCCAGCCCAGCCCTGGGGGAACTCACCAGACGCAGGCAGATGGCTGATGACTGCTGCTCTAATCTTGCTGATAGGGAAGCAGCAAGTGTTAGGAGGGATTTAGAGCCTCTTAGCCACTTTCCTCCCCCCCTCCCTGCCCTGCCTGACGTAGGGGTTGACTACGTGGTCTTAAATCTGTAGATAATCAGAAGGCGGCAGAGGTTATTGCTAATAAAAATGTCGCCAATCCTCAGGCCCGCCCTCAGGAAGTGCTCAGCGAGTTTGGACCCCGGGGGAATCCGTGAATTAGCTGTAGTTGCATGGATGGCTGTGTTTTGGTCTAACTGATGGAATTGGAGCCCCTGTGATCAAGGAAAGAGACGGCAGCAGAATGCTCAAAGCGAGTTGGTCACAAGTCTGTCTTCTACTCCGTGTAGCCCCTTGTTTAGATCACCTAAGACCTCGAATGTTTCCCAGGCTCTTTCTGTCACACGATCACAGTCGTGTTTCCCAATGGATTCCGCCTAGCAGCCTTGCCCTACTGGATTTCCGTTGGCCTGTTTCTCTGTCTCTTTCCCTTCCTTCTCTTGAATGGTAAGAACGTATTTCCAGAAAGAATCCAGGACTGGTGGGTACATGTTCTTGCAGCCCTGCTTAGCTGCTGTGTTAGGCCATATGTAAAGGTGGCCAGACTTTATTCCAAGGAAAAGGTCTTGATGGTTTTCCCAAACCTCAGTTAAAAATTTTTTTTAGGTTTCTTTCCAGGGATCAAGTAACGTGCTAAAGGCTGGGGATGGAAACCCGATGGAGACAGAGTTGCTCACGGTTTTGTAGGTGATGGAAACAGGCGAGCCCAGCTAAAGAGTGGGTGGCAGAGAAAAGGAAGAGACTGGTTTTGAGCAGGGAATTTGTTTTTAAATTCAATTTATGTTGACTAGCTCATGGTTATGGTTAAAAAAAAATGCAAAAGGCACAGGGTACCTGGGAGGCTTAGTCAGTTGAGCATCTCTTGATCTCAGCTTGGTTGTTGATCTCAGGGTTCTGAGTTCAAGCTCCCTGGGGGACTCCACACTGGGCATGAAGTGTACCTAAAAAAAAAAAAAAATTCAAAAGATACAAAGGTGCATTACAGTGGACAGTTTCTCTTTCCCAAACCAAATTTTCAATGTCTACATGTGCCACTGAAGAAGCAACCACTGTTACTCATCCAGAATACTTTTTGGTTGTTCTTTCAGAACTATTCTAAACAAATACAAGCAAAATCCTATCTCCATCTGTCATCTGAAAATCTATTATCAACACAAATCATAGTACTCTCTACATGTTGCTTTTTCCAATTAACCATGTGTCTTAGAAGTGTTTTTATGTGTGAACATAGATGTCTGCCTAATTTTGAAAATAGTCTGACAGTGATAAACATTCAGATGGTTTTATATATTTGCTCTTAGGAACAATGGAGCAGCAAATAACCCTGTCATGGGCGTTACTTTATATGTGTTTACGATGTGTAGGAAGGATCACAAAGAAATCTGATCAGACGGGGGGCAGAACAAATTGGACAGATACCTTGGGGAAAGATTGAAAATGACATCATCTTACACATACATGGAACGATCAGGGTTATTTAAAATAATGTTCTGTCCAATAGGAATGTGTGGGCCTTATCTGGAATTTCTGATTCAAACAAAAAGCTTAAAACATTTTTGAGACCACTGGAAATTTGATTTGATGATATTTAGGAATCGTTAGAATGCTTTATGCGGGCGCACCTGGGTGGCTCAGTCAGTTGAGCCTCTGACTTCGGCTGAGGTCATGATCTTACTGCTGGTAAGTTCGAGCCTTGCATTAGGCTCCCTGCTGGCAGCTCAGAGCCTGGAGCCTGCTTCAGATTCTGTATCTCCCTCTGTGTCTGTCCCTCCCCTGGTGGTGCTCTGTCTCAAAAATAAATAAACATTAAAAAAGAGTAAGGAATGCTTTTATGATAATGGTCTTGTCATGTAGAAGCGAAAGGCTGTGTATCTTTTTTTTTTTTT